CTATTATATATATATTAAGGAAAGATATTATATTATTAATTCTCTTTAAGGTATTCTTTATAATTATAATAAATATAATTAATTTATAATATTTCATAGTATTTAAGGTATCTTAGTTATATTTATTTATAATTATTATTTATAAAAAAGAGTATTTATTATATTTTTATGATATCTTATTTTTCTTTTATAGATATTATTAAAAACCTAGGTATATAATTAAGGTTTTTATAAATCTTAATATATTAATTTAGGGTTTATTAAATATATCTTAGGCTTAATAGTTTATTATTAAGAATTTAAGTAATTTCTTTATTATACTTTAAGTATTCTTAAATAAAAACTTACTTAAGATTAATTAATTTAATATCTTCTTATAATATTTAATTATATATATTTTATTATATAGATTATTACGTGGGGTAATTCTATTAATATATATATTATATAAGAAATTAATTTAATAATTACTAGGCTTATTTAATAAATTCTTTTTCTTAAGCTAAAGGTTTATATTATTCTTTTTATTAAATTATTATTTAGGGTTCTAGGTTATTAATATAAAGGTAATATCTTTATTACTCTTAAGGTAAAGGTTTATTAATATATCTATCTTAATTATTCTTTTAATATATTTAATTATAATAATAATTTATTTATTTTTATTATATTATAATAAATAATAAGATAATATAAGAGTAAAATTATTATTATTGTCCTTTTATATAACTTAATTAATTTATTACTCTTAAGGGGGTTTTTATTTTTTTTTAATTATAATAAGGGATAAATAATTATTTTTATAATATCCTTTTTTTTATAATTATAATAAATAATCTAAGATTTATCTTATTAAATATTTCTAATATCTATAAGTCTTAGCTAGGTATTAGAAGAGATATTTCTTTATTATCTTTAATTTTTATTATTATTATTTTTTTTTATCCCTATAAATTATTATATCGCTTAGGGTAATAAGGGTTAAATTAAGAAATATAGCTTTTATTTTTCTAGGTTATTTTCTCTTAATATTATTTATATTATTATTTATTAATCTTAATAGCTATAATAATATATTTATTAAGGTCTTTAAGGTAATTTACTTTATAAAGCTTATCTTTAATTTTATTTTTAAGTCTTTAATAATATAATTCTATAAGGGCTTTATTATTTTATTTAAGCTTAAATAAAAGCTAATAAAAAATTACTAAATAAGTAATATAGGATTTATTTTAAACTAAGCTATAAAGTTTAATTATAGCTTATTATTTCTTATTTATTATTTTAAAGACTTCTTTTAAAATAACCTTAAAATTAAATTAATTCGCAAAGATATTTATAATATTAAGATCTTAATTAATTTTATTATTTTTAAGATAATCTCTTTAAATAAATTTAAATTATATTTTTATAATTCTATAGAATAAGGGGGTAATAAAAAAAACCTTTTTTATATTATTATATATATATATAAGTATCTTATAGTTACTAAGAGGGTATTACGGCGTGAGAATAAGTCTTATAGCATAAGATTATTCTTTAAAGTATAAGATTACCTTTAGTTAGCTAGGATTAAAAGGTATTTTATAGGGAAGTTTTAGGTATATAATAGGGGCTATATTAGGCCGTAATATTAATCCCTGTGTGGTACTTCCTTAATATATATAAAAGAAGCGAGCGATACTTAAATCTCTTATAAAATGAAATATAATATATTTATTTTAATAAGAAATGAAATTTATTAAGTATAATTCTTTAATAAATTTAATTTAAATTAAAATAATTTATTTAAATAAAATAAGAAAAGTATTAAACTATTTTAAAAGCAATAATAATTAATACTAAATTAATATATATTAAAAACCCTTTTATAATAATAAAGCGTAAAACAAGAGCTATTTACTAATTTAAAAAGGTTAATATTAAGATATAAATATATATTATCTATTTATATAATATATCTAGTCTTTTTCTTTTTAGATTTATTATTAATATCGAAAACTATAGTTAGGTTAGGTAGCCAGCACGGGGAGACTTAAAGCATATCTTTGGTACCCTAGAAAGGGGTATTGGTGTTCAATTGTGGGCTTATCCTTCAATCTGTGTGAATTGCTTGTCCTCGTTATCCCTGAGGCTATTCCCTCTTTCCCTTCTGGGCCGCGACGTGGTCTTCCGGATTAGGACTAGCCCAGCCGGCCTGCCGGAGATCAGCCGGCGCCCGATCTCACGTGATCACCCTCAGAGCTATTGTACAGGATCCCATTCAACAATTGACTCTTATTTCATGGGGCCTGAGCCATGCAGATGTAACTACATGATGCAAAAACTCTACTTGCCTCTGTATTTGCGAATACTCCATCCGCTGTGTAAGCCAAAATGGCAAAGGTAGGTGGGGCGGTCTCCTCGGAGCCCGATAGATGAAGAGTGACGACTCCATGACCAAAGTCCGTTAAGTCCACTTTCATGCCTCCCAGCCATCCCCCGTCATACATGTCTTTTGGTTTAAAAGGTTTCCCTCGCCGCCCTTCATTCTGCCATCTCATTGCATTGGGATTCACTTTGACAACAGAACCAGCCTGATTCACCAAGGCAAATCATAACCCACCCCTGTGTCCTAATTTCAGCACTCATGGCCTCCCAGCAAGCTCCTTCCCAACTCGGGGCTGGCAGTGATACTCACTCACAGCCCTCGCGACTCCTCCTAAAGGGAGGAACGGTACTCTTGCACGACGCCAGTGACCATGTCAACGCCGTCAAGGCTGATGTGCTGATCGAAGGAAACAAGATTGCGAAGATTTCCGACTTCATCGCTGAATCCAGCGATATAAACACCATTGACTGTACCTCCAAGGTCATCTCGCCGGGTTTCATTGACACTCATCATCATATGTGGCAAACGCAACTCAAGGGCAGGCACGGCAACGAGGTTCTCCTGGAATACATGGCGTCCGGGAACCTTCAATCTTCCAACTACACTCGTGAGGACATATACTGGGGCCAGCTTGCGGGTTGTTTGGAGTCCATCAACGCTGGAACCACTACAGTGTTTGACCATTCACACATAAACTGCTTCCCCGAAGCTGGTATGTATCACACCACTGCCAATCCCTAGCGGCAGGCTCGAACACGGCTAACGACTCGATTTGCCTTCCAGCTCCAACGGCCATCTCTGCCACAGCCTCTTCTGGCATCCGAAGTGTCTATGGATATTGTCCCACTCCCCGGGTTGAGTCTTGGTCGCCCCTTACCCTGGCACCCGATGTCCTTGAACCTTGGGTCATGAATACGCTCGAGAGTCTCGCTTCACAAGCACCTTTTGGCCATGGTCGCGTGACACTTGGGTTCGCGTTTGATCAGTGGTTTCTGCCCGGCGAAGTTATCCAGGCCGTCTTCAGCAGAGCCAGAGCTGCCGGTGCCAGGCTGGCAACCACGCACGCAATTCGCAACGCTCAGATCAGCTTAGCTGATCCGGTCGAAAGGATCAAATCTCTTGGCCTTCTTGATTCCGATATTGTGTTGAGTCATTCCAATGGCCTCACCACGGAAAGCATCCGGGCAGTTGCGGACGCGGGTGCGCATATTAGCAGCACACCTTCTGCAGAAATGCAGATGGCAGCGGGTTACCCAGTTTGCCTCGATGAGACTCTACCTGGAGCTCAGAAGCAGTCCAGCATAGGTATCGACTGCCACAGCAATCAGGCTGCGAGCGTGGTCTATGAGATGAGGCTGGTTCTCCAAGCTTCGAGGGCTAGACAAAACCAGAAGATCGTTGAACAAGGCAAAGCTCCGAGGCATGTGTCGAAGACCGTGGAAGAAGCATTTAACCTCGGCACCATTCAGGGAGCTAGAGCGCTTGGGATGCAAGACCACATTGGAAGCATTGCAGAGGGCAAGTTGGCTGACTTGGTCATCTTTGATGGAAACAGCCCCGAGTTGCTTTGTGCCGTGGAACAAGATCCCGTGGCCGCCATTGTTCTACACAGTAGCATTGGTAGCGTGGAAACAGTCATTGTGGACGGCATCATTCGGAAACAGGACGGAAAGATCCCGGAGGTGGGTGTCGAAGAGCAGTTCAGGGAGCTTGCTGGCGACGACTCCCTCACTTGGAACCGGATCGCAGATGAGCTAAGGCAGTCAAGAAAGGGTCTGCTCAAACGCGAAGCCGAGAGCCAGGATCTGGATGAAGTCAAGAAAGGAGTTCTTCAGATTTTCTATGTAGACCAGTCTAAGCTAGTTTGATGCCATCTTTGGTATCAACCAAACCCCCCACTTCTCTAGCTTATCAAAAGGACACTTCAAGGGTTTTACGACACTGTCAACATTGAGATCATTACGAAGAGCTTGGTTCAATCCAGGTTCTACTGGACGCGTCTAAAGAAGTACCAAGCCTGGCTTTTCTTAATAGCGAGACGAGTTATCATAAATGTCTGATACGTTTAGGCATTCTCTAAGATCGGTTTGCCCTTAGAAGCGAGAACAAGGAGCTGGGGCTCTAGGTGTCCCCGTCTGGGGCACGTCAAGATTTCGTCAAACTACAAGGTCTAACACATCGTATCGGGATAAAGAAGCTTCTATAACGGAAAGGAAGTCACCCTCCATGTCCTCGAGGATCAGGTACATGTTCAACTTCTAAGCATGGCAATGATTACATTTTAGGAAGGATCTGTGGGAAATGGGAGCTGCAGAGAACCCAGGACTTGTTGAGGGCCAAAAAAACACTCATCCATCTCGGCATAGAGTAAAGCCCCTAGGTCCTCGCCTAAATCCATTGGGTTGTTTCCCAGAGATGTGAATGCTTCTCCTGCTTCAGCCTGCCAGTGATCAAGATCGTTAAATGGTGAATTATCTCGCTGCTGTTCCGATATAAGCTTGCTGAAGTAGAAACAAGCAACCCCGTACAAAGCTCGACTGATAAGGTGGAGCCTATTTGCCGCAGGAGATATGGTCGCTGAAGATCGCAATGACTCTGCAAAGCCATGAAGCATAAAAAGATCGTCGGTATTACATGTCTTGATGACATTTCCAAACAACACAATGAATGGAATGAAGGGCAACTGAAGAATCCTCCTAGAATACTGTTAAAAACAACGAGGCTCTCTGCTTCTGGCACTGCTTCGACTCACCAATGTAGATATATGGACCTGTAATGATCGTTCTCGGCAGTTAGCCGCATGCATTCTTCATGGGCCTGGAGGGTCTGTCTGGCATAGTTTACACAGTCCAAAGTAAAAGTAAAGGACTGATCTTGCAAAGTTTCGGCTCGGCATATCAAGGTTGCTGTGCAGTAATACGTGACTTTGTCAGAGAGTGCCAGGATTCTATCCAGGGTCGTTTCGGATGATTCAGGGGCGGTGGTGGCGAAAAGCTGGCCATGATTAGTAACAAATCACACTATGAGAAGGTCAATGGGTTCTTACGTAGGGGCTCTGCCGTCCAAGAGATTCCAGCTCGGCCATGAGCTCCTCCGAGTTTCTAGAGAGCGAGGTCTGTGGCCCCAGAAGCGCTGCCTTGCTATAGAGCCGCTCATATACTTTCCCCTGTATGTTGGCGTTTCCAACCCAGAAGGAAAACATGCCCGGCCAAGGGTCATGAAAAGGACGTTCGTTAAGCTGGCTGACAACTGTGATGTCACAATCACGAATCACCGAGGGCCGCCCCAGACGGAAGGAAAGAGCCCTCTCGATGATATATACGTGCCAAAACAACATGATCTTTATGATCCTCTCGTCCTCATCGCCTTCAGATACTATGGCATTATCATGCCATCCCATCGTCAGGCAGAGGTGGCTGGCTAGTCCCGCCAATCGCCATGCAAGCCAAGGCTTTGATGTTTCAATTGCATGTGATGCCTGTGGTACGTGTCAGTTGGAGCCAACGATAGTACTAAAAGCTTCGCAGACTTACGCCCATGACCAGTGCTTGGACACTTTCCATTCTGGCTGGTAAGAAAACCCCAATGTTGCTCAAAGCGGCCTCCAAGGCATGCCTGCAAAGACGGCTATGCTCAATGTACTTCTCATGGAATGGATCGGAGGCTGACGTGTGAAAGCTTTCTGTGAACAAGTAGTATAGACCGGATGTAGCTATGACAAAGTCATTGTCCGAATAGTCATCAATTGCGAAAAAGACTCTCCGACAAATGCTGATGAACCGATCCACGGACACGAAGCATCGTAATACAAGGAAGCTGACAGGAGGCTCTTCTAGAAATGTTCCACATTGTTAGCTAGAGTTCGCGTCGTCACATTAGAGTGTCGAAGCTGGCTCACCCTTGAATCTCCTCAACATGTCCACAATGGCACATGTGGGTGGCAGTGGCATCCTACGATAAGATGAGGACGACTGCATTTCTGGCGACGGCAATTCACTTGGATTTTGGCGTGTGCGGGACGGCCATTGCAGCGGTGCCGAGGCGGTGTTCAAATCGGCCGACAGAATATGCGCGCAAGCTTCCTTCAAGTCCACCACGCCCCTGACAAACGTTTGAGCCATGTCAGCGTGTGCCTGCAACGACGAAGAGCCCTCGGTGGCAACTGGGATATCATCTTGGTCGAAAACGGTTCCAGAGGATGAATGGGATGGTGCCAGCGGCATTGATACATTTGGCAAGGCGGCTTGTCCCCCCTGACCAGGCTTGACCCTAGATTCGAGTAGCAGGCTTTCGATGGTTTTCAATCGCTCCTCGATGGAGTCTATCTTTTGTTCACTATGGGAAGAGTCGGGTCAGCGAACCAACTCACTTCGATCAAGCCAAAGGCCAAACCTGGCTGTGACCTCAGTTGTGGATCAGGTACACATACTATTGCTCTGAGACGTGTATCCTTTGACGTGGCTCTTTCGGCTTCTGTCCAGCCCCGGTGAAGGTACAAGCCTGGCTAGAGAGGCGACAAGGGGAGCAAGGGGAGCCCCTATCACAACGAACCTGTTATCCGGTGGTGGCTCCGTTAGCAGCAACTCACAGCCATGATTAGACCTGAAATGCAACGCTTACTTTTCTGGCTCGACATGAGTCACACTATAGTGATGCGTTTGTTAGCCCTGGGATCAAATATCGACACGGAAGAGGTACTGACGGCAGTCACCCTTGATCCTTCCATCTTCTTTGAGGTGACAGAAGGGAGATAAGGGTAGGAATCAACTATGTAGAAATAATGTGAACAGGTGACAGTGTTTACAGGTGAGCGTTACGTTGCATATAAGAATCTGATTACTAAGTCCGCCATGTAGCCAATCAAAAGCTAGCCCAAGCTAGCCACCAGAGCCACACTTAGCCATAGTATCTCAAGCCTGTTGCAAGCTGTTGCAAGCTGCCTTTGAAGGCCGTTGTAAGCTGCTATTGCAGGTTGTTGCACGGAATCTGCCTGAAGTGCCTCAGCGCAATTGGCCCAGGGGCCTTCAGGGCATTCAAGGCCTATATTTCAGGGTCTTCAGGGCCTCAAGCGCAGTTGGGGCTTTGGGCTTAGTAACCTGCCTCTCATATGCACAGCCGGCTGTGCGCCGATCACGTGGTCTGATTTGCACAGACGGCTGCGCACGTAACGCCCGCCGTGCTTACATGGGCGCTGACAAATCTGTACCGGATCATGTGATCATATTCCCAGCTACCTTCTGATAGGTCCCAATACATGCACGACCGGTCGTGCAAATAAGACACGTGATATATCACACGGCTAGTCATGCAGATAAGATATGATTACTTAGCCCTGCCTTAATTGCGCTAAAGGCTCTAAGCATACTAAATTATAGGCCTAAATTGCACTAAAATAGAGGCTCTAAATACGCTAAAGTCAGGTAATAGCAGGCAGCTTTAAGTCTATTATAAAAGCAGCTCGCTTATAGCAGCTTGCAAAGGCAGCTTATAGTAACCTTTAGTAATAGCTTTAAGGTCCTGTGGCTAAGTGTGACTCTAGTGGCTAATAGAAGCTAGCTCTTAATTAGCTTATCTAGGGCTTAGTTATTAGATTCTTATCTATGTGACTGGCCATATGATATATCACGTGTCTTATTTATACGACCGGTCGTGTATGTATTTTATTAGAGAAACAGAACATACTAAACCACATAGCTAAAAAAGGAGAGATTGCCATATTGTTTCTTTAAGGTCTTTTTAAAAAAGGGATTTTATATACTTTCTTATAAGGCAAATATAATATAAAATAATAAGAGTAATTAATTAATTAATAGCAATAAAGATATAACCCTTAAAGGAGCCTAAAAGTCCTCTAGTTAAGGCCCTTAAAAGTAATAATAAAAGTAAGGCCTCATAGCCTCTGCCTCCTTTTCTATATATAAGAAATTACTTAATAGCCTAAAATAACTTAGCATACTTTTCCCCTAACTTAGTATAAGGACCCCCTTCTAATTAGTATCTAACTAATTAGGCTTAAAGCAACTTTATATATATGCTACCCTATACTTTCTAGCTATCCTTCTCCTATAGCACTTATATATAACCTATTTTAGATATTATTATATTTAATACTTTTTAGCCCACTTCTTACTCTTTGCCTATTAAAAGAGCTAATAAATATCTTTCTCTTCTATCTTAACTAATTAAAATTATTATAGGTTAATTAATAATATATATATTATAGCCTAATATAATCCCTATTATATGCTTAAAAACTTCCTTATAAAATATCTTTTAATATTAGCTAATTAGAGATAATCTTATACTTCGAGGATAAATCTTATATTATAAGACTTATTCTTATATTATAATACTTTCTTAATAACTATAAGATATTTATATATATATATTATATTTATTATATCTTAGATAAATATTTACCCCTTAAGCTATTAATAGATTTTAATTACCTTTAAGACCTTCTTAATTTATTATTAAAATATAACCCTTATTATATAATAATACTAAGATATTTTATTAATAATAAACCTAATATACCTAGTTTATTTCCTTAGAAAATACTAGATATTATATATTAATAGCTTTTTATTTAATATATTTCTATATTATATTATATAATATCTTTATTATTAAATAATATATCTTTTAATAAATAAACTACCTTATGTATTAGATCTTTTATTAGAGGATTATTATCTTATAATAAGATATTACTAAGTATTACTAAATTTATAGCTAAAATTTAATAACTTAGAGATATAATTAATTAACTTTAAGGATAGGTATAAAATTAACCTATAATACTCGCCTAATAATATTATAATAAAGATCTAAGTAAGATTTTTAAATTTTTAACCCCTAAATTATTTATAAACTAAGCTTATAATATTATATCTTTCTTTATTTAAATAAAAAGATATTTTAATATATTCCTATAATATATAAATATTATTTATTATACCTTAGATATATACTTAGCCCTTAAGCTATTAATAGATTTTAATTACCTTTAAGACTTTCTTAACCTATTATTAAGATATAATTCTCTTATTATATAATAACGCTATATAACGGTATAGTTAGATCTAAGGGATAAACCAGTTATATTAGGTTTATATTAATAGGGGATTATTAATATTATCTTAAATAAGATATAAGTTATATCTAGTAATATACTTAATAATATTAAGTATAACTAAGTTATATTAATAGCTAAGGTAATTACTATATAAGAAAGTATAATAAGTATATTTTATATACTTTGGCTTCTTTAAGCGAAGTTAATCGCGCATAGGCGCGATATTATTCTAAGACTAATATAATCTAAGAATAATATTAGTCCTTAGTATATTAATATTATTATAATTAATAATCTAAGACTTAGGATTTATAGGGACTATATAATATAGCCATAAGGGTTATAATATAATATCTCCCCTCTATTAGGTCTTATCCTTAAGACCTATATACCCTTATCTTCCTAATTTTATTTTTAATATATCTTAACTTAGACCTTTTATTATTATATCGCGCGATATCTAATTATATCTCTAAATAGTCTTCCTATAAGGATAGAGAAATTAATACATTTACCCTCTCTATTAAGTTTACTAACGATGAGTCTAATATACCTTATATTTATTACTTCTATTTAGGCAAGAAGTACCTAATATCTATAAATTTCGCTCGCTATAGTAAATATATTTATAATAAAAAGTCTTATAATAATACTTATATAATATTATCTTATAAGTCTAACCTTTTATATTCTTCTTATTATAATCTCTATTTTTAATAGTATCTTATAATTATTAACCTAATAAAATAAGAGAAGAAATTAGAAGTAAATAAGGGTAAAGCTAGTAATAATCTATTAAAGCTTTATAAGAAGATAGCTATGCTATAGTCTTACCTATTAGCTACTATAAGCTATTTATTGCGTATTTATAAGATCTAGGCCTAGGTAAAGGAGAAATATTTAGAGGCTACCTATTAGGGTCTCTAAGAGATAAAATAATAAGATAATATCTTATTTATATTAGATACTTATAAAAATATTATTATTTATGACCTTTAATTTAATTATATCCTTAATAATATTAATTAGGCGTCCCTTAGTCTAGGCGATAATTTTCTTAATACTTCGCCTTTATTTAATTTAAGTATTATTAATAGAAATTCTTTAAAAGGTATTACATACCCGTGAGGTACTCTAATAATTCTTATATATTTTTAGAGTCTAAGTAATCTTTTTATTTAATAAAATATATTATTTTATTATTAACTTTATCTATATTAAAGATAGCTTTTATAATATATTCTTCTAGTCTATTAATTTTAGTTTCTAGTTTATTATTAGTTTTAATTTAAATAGTATTTTATATTAATTTAAGTAATAAAATATAAAAGATTAAGTAGAGCTTAACCTTAGGTAATAAGTTTAATTTATAGTTATATTTTAAGATTTTTTATTTAATTTTATATAATTTAATATATTTAAAGTTAAGTTTCTTATTTTATTATTTTATTTTAATATTTTTATTATAAGGTAGACTATATCTCCTTCTAAGAAGATTAATCCTTTAATCCTTTTCTTATTAATATAATTTATTATCTTATTTCTAATAAACTTAAGTTCTATTTTTATTTCTTTATATAGATTTTTTAGCTAGTTATTAATAAGGATTACCTTAGGATTAATAATAATATCTCGTATTTATTAGTATATATCTAGTATAAATTTAAAATTAATATAGGCTAATATAATCTTTATGCTTTTATTTATAGCTATATTATAGGCTAGCTAGGCAGCTAATAGCTTTTTAACTTAATTAATTTATTTATAATTAATATAATATTAGAGATATTATTCTAGTATTTAATTTATATATTCTATTTATTTATTTATTTCCTTATAATATATAATAAAGAGTTTATAATTAATTCTTAGGTAACGTATATGATAAGCGAGCGTCGCATCCAAGCGAGCGTCGCACTTTTCCCTCTTACACCTAACCTTTCATTTGATCAATTGATTCTCAACCAAAAATCATGTCAGACTCAAATACTGAGGCTAGGACCCTCCTTGCCCTTCAGGCCCTTCAAAATAACCCAAGACTTAGCATCCGACGCGTTGCAAAGACTTATAGGGTCTCTGATCATAGGCTTCGTCGCCGCCAGCAGGGCATTCAATCCCGACGCGATACTATCCCGAATTCACGCCGACTATCTGATCTAGAGGAAGAGATCATAGTTCAGTTTATTCTTGACCTAGATTCACGAGGATTTCCCCCGCGACTGCGTATTGTTGAAGAAATGGCCAATCGATTACTCGCCGACCGCGACGCGTTACCCGTCGGCAAGCGCTGGGCTCATAACTTCGTCAGGCGACAGGAAAAGCTGAAGACGCGTTTTTTTCGTAAATACGACTACCAGAGGGCCAAGTGCGAAGATCCAGCCGTTATTCGCGATTGGTTTCGGCTCGTGGCGAACGTGATCGCGAAATACGGCATCCGATCAGATGATATCTATAACTTTGACGAGACTGGCTTCCT